CTCTCGCATGCTAAGCGAGCGCTCTACCATATGAGCTACATCCCCATGTTATTTTTCGTATTATTCAATCACTTCATGCACTTTTAAGAATAATTATAATATTCAAGAGAATCGTGCTCAGTCTCTGTTATCTCCTCGATTTATTCTATATAATTAAGAGGTATCTTTCTTCTTCTAGAAGTTTACCATATGTACAGCTCGATTGAACCGACAATTTAATATTATGAAAGTTATAAAATAGAAATACAATACTTATTCTCACATTTTCTGATTATTTCATTGAATTTTTAGCATGTTCTTTTGACTATATCATATAACAGATATAATATAATTGAATGTATAGACACAATATTTGATCACTAGATCTCGTTATAACTATAACAAATTAATATACTATGATTGTAATTATTATATTATTTTTACTTCAGTTCATTTTATATAGTATTTATTTAAGAAAAGTTAAAAATATATGTGACATACAGTTTCTCCTATAAGTTTACAAATCAGTTAGTAATAACATAAAGTATAAAATAGATTAGAAAACAAACATTAAAATCATATTGTTCATTATTCGAAAATTTTCTTCATGATGTTTTGTTAATTTCATCTTTTTTTTCTTCATTTTCTCTATACCAATAGTTTGGAGAAAAATATTGAACTGTTTTTCTATATGTCCAATAAGGTGTTAACCAAATAGTAATAATAGCAAGACCCACCATCATATTAATTGTATATATCCATGGAAGATTTTGTTTAATATAATTCCAATCTTGATAAATACCATACCAACAATAGATTTCATAAACTGAACGTAAATGAAAAATATAAATTAATATCCATTGATTTATTTTCCAAGCTTTTGTTTTCTCAAGATTTAATTTTAATAAACACCAACAAATACATGTAAACGGTGTACTTATTTGAAGAAGAAAAGTTTTAGCTGCATAATAATGACCACGATTATAATAAGCAACACTAAAACATCCATTAAGTACAAAAAAATGATGTATATGTAATTCTTTTGAAAATCCATGATATTTTATATCGAAATAGATTAATGCAAATTCTTCAAATAAAAAATAACCTGTTAAAATACATGTAAATATCCATGATTCATCAGTGGATGCAAATACATGATCAAGAGCAATACGTCCATCTATATAAACCATATATGCAGCTAGATAAATATAACGATACATTTGATTAGAATTTAATTTAAATGAATAAAATCTTACCCCATAATATTGGTAATCCAAATATAAATCTAGTTATTGATAATTGCCAAAGCATTTGTTCTTTTGCTTTCATTGCTCTATATTATATAGAATTCATCTTTAATATTTCTTAAATAATAATATGAAATCAGATATACCTGACTTTAGGTATAAGTTGTTTTGAAATCCATCTTGCTATCAAAGATAATATTAACCAACTAAAATAACTAAGAACAATACGAAATACATTATCACGTAATGTTTGGTTTGATTGTGGAATGTTGAGGGGTATTTCTATTTGTATATTAACCTATAATATTTGTTTCTCAATATAAGAAATAATCTTTTAAGAAATAATCATTATCTTACCATTTTAATATTTCTAACACGTTGACGATAATGAACTGTGTGTATTCTCGAGGATATATACATTTCTAACGGACAGATAACCAAAGAGACTCTCTATTTGATTTTAGCTGTTATCAATATGAATGTATAGTGAGTACAAAGTTTATATTTTTATATAAATAGGTCATATATTTAAATATCTATGTCAATTGTTGAATATCTTACGAGTGAATATCTGAATTTTAAGAAAATCGAATTTCTTATCGTTTTCATAGTTAATACATATATCTAATTTATCATTGATTAAAATTCTTAATTATCAAAACAGTTAATGAAAAGAATTGCTTAGCGTTGGAGACTTCCTTTTTTAACCTATATTTCAAAGGTAAATAGGTCAATATAATTCATGAATTTTATCTTATACACATAAAGAAACACAAAGAAATTAAAAAAAACCAAATATCAAGACAATGATTCACAGTCATATGATATCGACTTAATTCCATAATATAAACTAAATATCCACTTTTCTTTTTCTACTTGATAGTTTGAATTTCGGAAATAATTCAATGTACATTAGATGATGTTATTTTGTGTTTAATTATATATTTTTGACCTACTTTTTTTGATCTATATATTTCGAACACTTATTTTTCTACAGGTGAAAGATCTGTCGACAGAATGATCTATTTATTTTATTAATTCGGTTAGTGTGTCGTCATCAACACAATGAATGTTCCCCCTTCATGTCTTATCTGCA